GTGCTGAAGCGGCTTGTTCTGCAATTCAAACGTGGATTCAAAAGGAATGATAAACCTTTATGCATTTCTTCAGGAACTTTTATAGCGCATTTGGTTAACCAGCGTGTGGCTTATGAGATTATTGCTTTGGAAATCTTGACTCTACTGCTGGAGACGCCAACCGATGATTCTGTCGAAGTAGCCATTGCATTTTTGAAGGAATGTGGTATGAAACTGACAGAGGTTTCGCGAAGGGGTATCGAGGCTATCTTTGAAATGCTGAGAAACATACTGCATGAGGGACAATTGGATAAGCGAGTCCAGTATATGATAGAAGTTATGTTCCAGATCAGGAAGGATGGATTTAAGGATCATGAGGCTGTACTCGAAGAACTAGATCTCGTGGAGGAAGAACATCAAATCACTCATTTGATAAGATTGGATGACGAGATGGAAGCGCAAGATATATTAAACGTGTTCAAGTTTGACACTGATTATCTTGCCTCCGAAGAGAAGTACAAGCAATTGTGTAAAGAAATTCTTGGCTCGGATGTCAGTGATTCGGAAGGTAACGATGAAGATGGAGAAGAGGAAAGCTCGGACAACGACAGCAGCACAGAACAGACCGAAGGAAAAGAAGGAGTGATCCTCGATAATACAGAAACAAATCTGACCGCACTTCGACGGACTATATATCTGACTATACATTCTTCGCTCGATTTCGAGGAGTGTGCGCATAAATTGATGAAAATGCAACTGAAACCTGGGCAGGAGATCGAGCTATGTCATATGTTTTTGGACTGTTGCGCGGAAATGCGGACGTACGAGAAGTTCTTCGGCCTCCTAGCCGGTCGGTTTTGCGCCATTAATAAAATATATGTGACGCCATTCGAGCAGATTTTCAAAGACTCTTATCATACGATACACCGCCTCGACACGAACAAGTTGCGGAACGTATCGAAATTCTTCGCGCATTTACTATTTACAGATTCCATATCGTGGAGCGTACTTTCGTGCATAAAATTGAACGAGGAAGACACTACGAGTTCCAACAGAATATTTATCAAAATCTTGTTTCAGGAGCTCTCTGAGTACATGGGTCTGGCAAAGCTGAACGAACGGGTTAAAGATGTAACGTTGCAAGAGGTGTTTGAAGGACTATTTCCCAGAGACGATCCAAAGAACACACGTTTCGCGATCAACTTCTTTACGTCGATCGGCTTGGGTGGTTTGACAGATGATTTGAGAGAACATTTAAAGTCCCATCCGAAGCCAGTTGCTGTGCCGGCATTAATTACCAAGGAAGAAGAACCCTCGAGCTCTGACGAGTCTAGCAGTTCGTCATCCAGTTCCAACCCGTCTAGTTCGACGACAATTTCTTCGACCGATTCTTCTTCATCATCAGAGGATGAAGTTCCGGCGAAGAAGAAGAAAAAGAAAGTGTTGCATAAACGAAAAGAAAATAAATCGAAAAACAAGAAGGAAGAAAAGACTAAGAAAGTGCCCAACAAGAAGAAGAAAGGCAAGACGAAAAAAGACAAATAAAACAGACATAGAAATTAAGTAATACAAAAATAATAGATCTTTTTATAAGTTATAGTGTTATATAATAAAGCTATTCTGTACAAATTATATTCTATGATTTACATTTCACTAAGTTTTTAAAATTTCGAGTGAGTAGGAATAATAAATGGACATATAATATTTATTCTACTTTGCATACTATTTATTATTCGACATATGTTAAAATCATGGATCCGCATTCGTCTATTTTTAACAACTTAATTACTTGATAAAGCTATTTCTGTCGTCTTATCATTTAATTATATTCTATGTTTTAACATTTCCAGAAGACGATGAAGAGCGCCTCTGAGTTTTAAAATAATATTCGGAATTTAGTTAACGATCCTTCCTATTTTCACGTTAGGCGTTAAGAACGGAGTGGGCTGCTCCCTGGAAGATATGGAAACTCATCATCGTTATCATCAACACTGGAGCCTCGTGCCGTCCCTGACAATGAACACAAGATGGCAACGATAGCAAAGAGCGCGCACGCCGCGGCCGCGGCCGCGCCTCCACGTCGTCGCTTGTAGATGCGTGTGCAGCATGCCGCCGCCGTCAGCCGTGTGATTGTGTGCGTAACGCGGGGAGGTACGCAGGCTATTTTGACGGGAAGGTCACATGACTAGACGGCTGTCGGCGTCCGAATCACACAGACGCGTGCCGCCGACCGCGCGTCGTAACCGAGCTATGCGCGTTGCGGCCTACGTCGCATTGCACGTGTGTGAATTGTGTAGTGTGTACACACTGTATACACTACACACGCGTATGACGCGCACACACCTGCTCTCTTCGGCCGACACGACACGGCAAGGGAATCAGGGGACCAGGGGACCGCAGGGATGTGTGGCCAGGACCGTGAAATAAACAGAGACAAGAGAAATTCATATATCGTAGGTCTCTCAATAAAAGAATAAAACTATTCTTCCATAATTTTGTTTCTGCTTTCTCTTACTGTATA